GGTGGGGTGGATAGGTGGGAGAGGCCTGGTGTTAATAGTTTTTGGCGCTGGTGATGGGGGCTTCTCAGAGGCTTCTCCAGGGTCCGGCACATCCATCGTCGACAGGACATGTCTGATTCGACAGTGCCGCTGTGGGTTAGAGCCTGTATGCCCTGCTAGAACATAGGCTCCGTGAGGGCACCGGTGCATCCTCGGTGCCTGGTACAGAGAAGATGTCCAATAAAAGTTCTGGAACTTCTGCCTATGTGTTTGGAATTTTCCATAATAAAAAACAGGAACACAAAAATGGCAGCTCTTATCCTTCGCAGAGTTTCATCACCGGCCCCAGCTTCCCTCCGCCCGCTCCTCCCATGCTTTCCTCCCCCACACCCAGGAAGGAACAGATAGACGTCATCCTCCCAGTGGGGGCTATGGGTGCGTCCCAGAGGCAGTGAGGCTGCCCTGGAGCAGGCAGGAACCACTGAGGTTTTGACTGCCCCTCTCCAGACCCACGTCCCACTGGTTCCAGCACACAGGACAGGCGACAGCCCTGTGAGGTCAGCACTGCAGCCTCTATTTCAGGGACATGGCTCGGAGATGCTGAGTGACCTGGACAACACCCCAGGACCCCTGTTGTTTCCCGCACCACCCCAAACCGGTGTGTTTACCAAGGGCCAGACGGTACCCGTGTCCCCCCTAGAACACAAGCTCCTTGAAGGCCGGGTTTCCCTCGGGCGCTGATGCACCTGGAATACAGAGAAGGAGTCCGATAAAGGTTTCAGAATGAGTGGGTGTGGGACCCCAGCAGGCCAGATAAGGCGGGCCTGGACGCAGGGACCCGTGCTGGGCCCTAGCCTCCAAGAGGGCGGTCCAGTGTCAGCAGGGCCCCCATGTGGGTGGCCACCGGGGACACATCATTCTCTGAGTGGGTGAGTTTCAGCCACAGAGACACTCCCTGGACTACAAAGCAGGGTTCCTTGGGGTGCCTGCTGTCATGAATAGACAAGACAACGTGTGGACCCCCAGTAGCAAAGCACCCCAAGAGGGCCCTCTGGGGCTGTAGTCATCCAGACTGTGCTACCCGACTGCGCATCCACCCCAGCCCTGCCTGATTCACAGTTGTTGTAAAGATTCCCCTGGTCCCACCGAGCTTTACCCCAAGGCTGAAGCACCATTCCCCTCGCACCGCAGATGGGGTCCCCGACCCATCTCCACCGCTCAGCCCCTGGTCACCTTCTGTCTGCAATTGGCTTCCAACCTCCAGATGCAGGCAAGGCTGGACCACAGGCTCCCAGGAGATCCCTGCTGACCCCACTGCAGAGCCGATGGCTGGCTGACCACCTGGCCAGGTGGGGATCCGTGCAGATGTGCTGACCTAGAACACGGAACTGCTAAGGTGTCCTCCCCAGGACAGCCCCAGGCAGCCCCACCCTCCTGGAAGGGGACCACTGCAAGGACTTAGGAATGAAGCCATCCCAGGTTGGAATCCCAAGCCCCATCACCTTTAAGCTCTGTGACCTCAGGCACCTGATCTTTCAGAGCTGCCCTTTCCAATTATGTAAAATGGCGCAGTGAATGGCACCCAGTAAATGACAGCTGGTGGTGGAGGGGGGGGCACTTTCTAACTAGAGTGAGCAGGCAGGCCAGTGTTCCCCGGATGACACACCTGTCATCCTGCCTGATCAAACACAGCCCTTTCTTCTCTCAAAACTGAACCCGCTCAGACCCTCTGATCCAGTCACCATATGTGCGTCCTCATGGGATGCAGTGTCAGGGACACGGCACCACCTCTGAAGTGCTGGAACCAAAAACCAAACCAGAATCTGATCACACATCTGCTTCCGACCCACCCCCTTCCAATTACAGAAAATACAGGGACAGACACTCAATAATATTAACACCTAGGGTGGTGCCGTCAGCAGCACCCTGAACACGGCTGACCTCATCTTCCCCGTAAGGGGACTGGGGAAGGGATGCTCACAAGTCTTTAATTCCGGTGCAGATCTGCACCAGATTCTCATTCTGTAAAACAACTGTGAAAAACGGAGGCAATCAGAGGGCTGTGCCACCGCTGGGTGTTCACCGAAATGGAAGAGCTGTTGTTCATTTTGGGGGGGGGGACCATGGTATTGGGTTTTCCCTTGGAGGCTCACATGGTGAATTTACAGGTGAAACCACATGATGCCTGGGATCTGCGTCAGAACCACGTGGGGGTGGGAGTGGTGGGGTGGATAGGTGGGAGAGGCCTGGTGTTAATAGTTTTTGGCGCTGGTGATGGGGGCTTCTCAGAGGCTTCTCCAGGGTCCGGCACATCCATCGTCGACAGGACATGTCTGATTCGACAGTGCCGCTGTGGGTTAGAGCCTGTATGCCCTGCTAGAACATAGGCTCCGTGAGGGCACCGGTGCATCCTCGGTGCCTGGTACAGAGAAGATGTCCAATAAAAGTTCTGGAACTTCTGCCTATGTGTTTGGAATTTTCCATAATAAAAAACAGGAACACAAAAATGGCAGCTCTTATCCTTCGCAGAGTTTCATCACCGGCCCCAGCTTCCCTCCGCCCGCTCCTCCCATGCTTTCCTCCCCCACACCCAGGCGTGGTCTCACCCTGCCCACCTGGTACCACTCTGTGTCCTGGGGGCTGCAGGCCTTTGCCTGGGGTCAAGGTAAGGAGTCCCAGGAGAGCCCAGAGCCAGTGGCTCAGTGAGGTCACTGACTGTGGTGTGGATCCCTGGAAGGCTGAGGGGTGGCGCTTGCTGGGTGGCCATGTCACATGCCTCCTTCTGTCCCTTGCATGAGGCTGGGTCGCTCGGCCCTGCAGCCCCCCCCAGCCACAGCTGCTCTGCTGACCCCCACCAAGTCTGAGCCTCATCAGACCCACCAACCCTGTCGCCATGGTTACCGAGGAGACATCTTCTCTGCCAGCACCCGGCACCCCACCTCCCAGGGTTCCAAAGGCTTTGACCCAACCACTCCCTGCCGGAGGAAGGGGTGCTTTCAGCATCCTAAAGCAGCACAGGGGATCCCTGTCAGCCTCACAGCCATCCCTGCAATAAAAGAGAGCTTTGGGCACAGCGAGACTTCAAAGCTGCCGAGGCCCTGGTCAAAGGTAGAGCTGAGTAATCACCTGCAGGCCCTCTGGGCTCAGGGAGCCTGGGGGGCCCTCCTCGTTCCCCTCAAGGGAGGCCCTCACAGCCCCCGCCCACAAACAGGCAGGCAGAGAGGCCTAGGCCTCTGCAGCTTGCAGGGCACAAGTGGCCTGGAAGCCATGGGTGCAGCAGCTGAGGATTGAGCACGGGACACCTCTCCGTGGTGAGGCCGAGCACCTCACCTCTCCTTAAGTCCTCCCACAACTGTAGGTCACCCCCATTTGCAGGTTGAGCAACTTTCCTGGGGTCACCCAGCTGGTGGTAGGCAGCGGAGATCTGAAACCAGCAGCCTGGACCCCGAGACAGAGGGTGGCCTGGGCCACACCCCCTCAGGCCCAGCCCTACACTGGGCACTTGCCCTAGATCCCCAAGCCAGTCGGCAGCATGCGGACCTCAGCTTCCCAACTGTGAAATAACCCTGCCTGGACCACCCGCCAGCCTGCTGCCACCTGCCAGGAGCTCCCAGCTCCACACAGCACCTGTGAATTGCTTTGGCACAGTGGTGACCAGGTTGGACTCCCAGACCTCACTTCTCTCCGCCCGCCCACCCTACAGAAGAGGGAGCGGAGTCCAAGGAGGTGCGACCACAGAGGTGGGGCCTGCTGGGTACAGGGTCTAAGCCGCCAACCTCCCACCCATACCGGGCCCTCACCTGGGAAATGGGGGGCCTCGGGGTGTGGAGTGGGCACCTCCAACACCACGGATACACAGCACCAATTTATTTATAAGATCCACCCTCCCTAAAACAGGTTTTCTGACACAGGTCTCTCCCCAGCTGGCAGCGCTGCAAGGGGACACCCGCCAGGGACCCTGCCCCTCAAGGGCTGCAGCATGTCCAGATCTTGGCCAGGTTCAAAAATTCCAGGAAGAGGGAGTGGGCGGGAGTAGACAATCTTTATTGTGTTCCAAATCTAAGGATTCTTTGCACAAAAATAAGTGTTCACACTGTCAGTGTCCCTAGGCAGTTCAAGTTCATGCGTAAAAAACAGATGATCTGTGTCGGCATAAAATCCTCTCCCCTTCAAACCTCCAAGTGTTGGTGCTGCAGACCAGTTCCAGTGGAAGGCCTCTGGGGACAGGGTGGCAGGGGTCCGAGGAAGCTGCCGCCCGGATGATGTCAGGCTGGACGGCCGGGGAGGGCTGGCGGGATCCCCGGCTCGGCGGCGGCTTGGCCCGCGGGAACGGCGGGGACGAAAACGTGAGCCATTCCAACGCGCTGGCTCCCAAGTGGTGAGCCCGCTCGCGGCCGCTAGGAGGAAATAGGCACGCGCGTTAGTGCGGGATCCGGCCCTGGAGACCCCGCCCAGCCCGGCCCTGCCCCACCTCCCACAAGCGGAGCCGGCAGTTTCGTTTGCTCAGTGGATTTTGGAGCTCGGGTCCGTGGGTGCCTCGGTTTCGGAGTACGGCCCAGCCAGGGCGGCGGGGCGGGGCGGGGCGAGCGCTCGGATCCGCAGTGAGTCAGGGATCCGCACCCCGCCGACTCATTTCTGCCACCCGGCCCGGCGCGCAATTTGCAATGCAAAGTCACTCCGCCTCCAAGCGCCCGAATCTGCCCCGGATCCGCAAGCCCCTGGGGCCTCACCCGCCCGAGGGCCCCCCCCCCTCCGTCTCCCCGCTCCCACTTCGGCGGCGGAGCAGCGAGGGGAAGTTTTGCAATCCCGGACAAACAAACGCTGGTCTTGCACAGGCTTGAAAAAGTTTGGGGGGAATGAAGAGTGAGCGAAATCCAGGCCATCGCCCGGGCCTGAGGCTGGGCCCCGCGGGCTCTCGGGTGCGCGAGCTGCGAGGCCGTTTGCTCCACCGCGCCAGGCGGCCCTGCCTCCGACCCTCCCTCTTCCCCGCCTCTCGGCGCTTACCTTGCTGGGACGAGAGCTCAGTAGCCCCCTAACCAGCTGGAGAAATCGAGAAGCTCGCGCTCCGCGGGGCTCAGCGCGCCCTCACAGGCGCTGTCGTCCGACGAGTAGGCGGAGCGCGGGGACCCGGGCTCCGAGCTGTGCTCGCGGCCCGGGGACGGCAAGGCGCAGGAGGGCGAGGCGGCGGCGGCCCCGGGTGGCCCGCGGGGCAGTGAGTGGCGCGCGGCTGGCGCCAGCAGCCCCCGGGCCAGCGCGGCGCGCACGGCATCGTGCTCGGCCAGCAGGCGCTGCAGCGCGCGAATGTACTCCACCGCCGAGCGCAGCGTCTCCACCTTGCTCAGCTTCTTGCTGGCGCCGCCCTGAGGCACGTGCTGCCGCAGCGCCTGGAATCCTAAGTTCACCAGCTTCACTCGGTTGCGCTCCCGCTCGTTGCGCCGCGCCACGGCCGCCGCTCCACTCCCGGTCTCCACCGCGCCTGGCCGCCGCCGCCGGCTGCAGCGCAGCAGCTCTGGAGACTCCGGTCGCCGCCGAGCGGCGCAGCAGCCCGAGACACCAGGCGCAGGGGGCGCGGGCCGGGGCAGCGCGCCGCTGTCCATCGCGCCCGCATCCACTCGCCCCGCGCCTCCTCCGAGTCCCTGCGCGCCGCAGGAAGGTGTGGGGCGAGGAAGATCCGCAGTGAGTCAGGGATCCGCACCCCGCCGACTCATTTCTGCCACCCGGCCCGGCGCGCAATTTGCAATGCAAAGTCACTCCGCCTCCAAGCGCCCGAATCTGCCCCGGATCCGCAAGCCCCTGGGGCCTCACCCGCCCGAGGGCCCCCCCCCCTCCGTCTCCCCGCTCCCACTTCGGCGGCGGAGCAGCGAGGGGAAGTTTTGCAATCCCGGACAAACAAACGCTGGTCTTGCACAGGCTTGAAAAAGTTTGGGGGGAATGAAGAGTGAGCGAAATCCAGGCCATCGCCCGGGCCTGAGGCTGGGCCCCGCGGGCTCTCGGGTGCGCGAGCTGCGAGGCCGTTTGCTCCACCGCGCCAGGCGGCCCTGCCTCCGACCCTCCCTCTTCCCCGCCTCTCGGCGCTTACCTTGCTGGGACGAGAGCTCAGTAGCCCCCTAACCAGCTGGAGAAATCGAGAAGCTCGCGCTCCGCGGGGCTCAGCGCGCCCTCACAGGCGCTGTCGTCCGACGAGTAGGCGGAGCGCGGGGACCCGGGCTCCGAGCTGTGCTCGCGGCCCGGGGACGGCAAGGCGCAGGAGGGCGAGGCGGCGGCGGCCCCGGGTGGCCCGCGGGGCAGTGAGTGGCGCGCGGCTGGCGCCAGCAGCCCCCGGGCCAGCGCGGCGCGCACGGCATCGTGCTCGGCCAGCAGGCGCTGCAGCGCGCGAATGTACTCCACCGCCGAGCGCAGCGTCTCCACCTTGCTCAGCTTCTTGCTGGCGCCGCCCTGAGGCACGTGCTGCCGCAGCGCCTGGAATCCTAAGTTCACCAGCTTCACTCGGTTGCGCTCCCGCTCGTTGCGCCGCGCCACGGCCGCCGCTCCACTCCCGGTCTCCACCGCGCCTGGCCGCCGCCGCCGGCTGCAGCGCAGCAGCTCTGGAGACTCCGGTCGCCGCCGAGCGGCGCAGCAGCCCGAGACACCAGGCGCAGGGGGCGCGGGCCGGGGCAGCGCGCCGCTGTCCATCGCGCCCGCATCCACTCGCCCCGCGCCTCCTCCGAGTCCCTGCGCGCCGCAGGAAGGTGTGGGGCGAGGAACCGAGGGCGGAGGAACGACGGTCAAGCCTCAGCGACGATCTGGCACCGTGCTGCCAAACGACTACCCAGGGTACGTGGTGCCAGGTCGTCTGGGGTCCGGAGACAACGAGGCGCAGGAGGCCGAGAGGTGGCGGGCAGTGCGCAGCGGGGAGCGTGGGGCGCTCGTGACTCGCGCGTGCTGTCGGACGCTCCCCGAGCGGCGCAGGCGGCTCGTTTTTAAATGTATAGATAACCCTCCTCCGCGCCGCCGCCGCCTCCTTTCTCACGCCCTCCTTCCCTTGCCTCGCCCTCCCGCCACGCTTCGTCCAACCCCTGGCGCACACAGCCTGCAAAGACCAAGCCGTGAGCGCGACCGCACCCCGTCCCCCGGGCACAGTCCGCAGGTCCCCAGTGGGTCCCGGCTCCCAGCAGGTGTCCAGTGCGACCCCAAGATGCAGCACGCAGGTCCCGTGTGTGCACCGACCCCCAAGCTGCTGTCCGCAGGTCCCGGGTGCGACCCCTGCAACGCTCGCCTTTGGGGGTAGGGCAAGTCTAAGGCCACAGCGCACCCATCCCTGGGGCGCGTGAGACCCCGGGGAGTAGCACGCGCCGACCAACCTGCACCCGCGCCCCGCCCCCTGCGGCCGAGGGGCGGGGGCCGGGGTTTCAGCCAGTGGCGGGCCGCCCGTTCGGCCAATCGCGGCGGGCACCACCCCACGCCCGGCCCCTGGGAGGAAGCCTGTATGCCCGGCGCGTGGCTCCCGGGAGCGTCTCTAACAAAGCTCGGCGCCTGCGCGGCCCCGCCCGGCCCCGCCCGGCGACCAGGGTGGGCGCGCACTCCCACGCACGCCTGATCATGGCCCGGCGCCCATGTGTTTATGACTCCACCGGTCCTTCGAGAGGGGAGCGCAGCCCTCCGGGCGGGGCGGGGTTTGAGAGGTGGTGAAGACCTGGAGCGCTTGGGTAGGGCGTTCAGGTTCCTGGGGCGCTTTTCCCCAGCATACCCCCACGCCCACTCTCTGCGGGTGGTTGCCGTGCGCCCCGGGCCTTGGGGAGCCTTGAAGCGGAGCGCCTGGAGGTTTGCACACACCGCTTCAGACTTGGCGTGGCTGTCGGCCTGCCTCTCCCCTCCGCCCTCCCCGCCGCCTCCGCAGCTTCCTCCGCTTTCCACGTTCCCCCCAGATCTTCCTCCCTTCCTGGTCCAGTTCCCTCCGGCCGCTCACCCGCCGTCGCGGCCCCTCTTCCTCACTGCCATGCCTCCAGCACCATCCACCTACCCCCGCACTGAGACTGGCCTGTGGGGGAAGGTGGCTGGGGCCATGGCCTTTCCAGCGTCTCCCAGTGGAGGGGAGGCGTCAAGAGACTTCCTCCCTGACCGATGGGGGTACATTTTGGGGTATGAGGGGGCAGGGACTTTGGAAGTGTGCAGAACGCGCCGTTACTGGGAGACTGTTGTCCTGCCCCGCGGCCTGGGAAGGCCAGTCAAGTGGCCGGGCCCTCAGGAGGCCATACCCAGCAGGTTTTTCCCGAAAAGTGACCAAAGCCTCCTGGGCCAGGACCTCTGGGAATGGAGGCGGGGGCGGGAGGGGGCGGGAGGGGGC